GGGTTGGGCTAAGTACAAGTATAGTCTGTAGAATACAATGCTTCCCTTCGATAGTCAGAACTAGCCGGAAAAGATGGGTTTTCTATCGCGGAAATGACCCGATGCAGGCCTACCTCCTCACTGCCGCCTTCCTAACCCAGAAAAAGAAGCTGCTATGAAGCGACCAAGTCAAGATCTGAAGTCTAATTGAGTTCTACATCCACGGAAGAAGTGGCATGTCGCTCTACCCACGTTCCAGTTAAGAATCCCACCAAACAATGTGATTTAGTTCACAGGGTCCAACTTAAAAATCCTAAAATTATTTTATAATCAACACCATGCTAACATAGAAATTCAAAGCTACTCATCGAATAACTAATTTATACCGTATTCGTGAAGATGCGTAAGATGAATTCAAATGTCGTCCAGTTTCGCTGAAGCTCATCGCGTGGTGCTCGCAGTAGCATGCGGAACAAAAATAGTACTTATCATGGCTTTGTAAACTTTAGCATGATATCGAGCCCGATGATTTACGACCTATAGAATTTACACTACGAGTATCGGTGTGGGAGTGAAATACGAACAATGAATCAGCATTCAACTCAACTCGAATGAAGATTCGCTATTGATCCAAGTCCAGATAGTTTAGCGGCTCAAATTCCTTTTCTTCCTCTGATGAAAACTTAGGAATGGCATATTTACATGCTAAGAACCTGGTTTAGTCTTAACTGAGTGCACACTCAATTGTCGCTACTCTTATCAGTACGGTTTTTGCTCATTACCACTCCCTTTCATCATACGTCAGAACCGCGCCACCCTGATTATTTGCTAGTGATAATGGCAACGAAGTTGAAGACGTTTGCATTCAGACGCCCCTTATCGTTCCTTATCATTTGTTATCGGACCTTTGTCCGCAACCCCCTTCATCCACTGTCGGTTGCCACGTGGCGCTGCTTGAAAAGCGCGGGCGCATTTGAGGCAGCGGTCCCATTGCGACCCAATGTCATTGGCACTGGAGCAACTAGAGTTAGGTTCGTGAAACTCGTCCAACGCGCCCTTCTCTATCCCAAGGTGGAATGCGGCTGAAATAGGGGAGGTCTCTGTGCGGGGCGTAATCGGTGGTTTCGTTTGCTTTCCTTCTCTTTTCCAGACCACTCCCACCTCTAACTTCATAAGTCCGCGCCTTCTACGCCTATTTATCCTGAATTTTGCCTTTGAGATGCGTTATCGATGAACACAACAGTGCTAGTATAACTCAGAGTAGAACAAGTAACACCTTAAGCTAATTAGCATTGCACTGACCTGTAGAGGACACGTAAGGGACAAGGCGAAAGAAAAGGTGAAGAAACCATGTGATAGACATTTGAGATTAATAGGTCATTTGCGAATGTTTTTCATTTTAGGATTTGCTTACCTTCAGTTCTTGAACTGGTTCATATCTCCTTTCTAGGGGGGAGTTAGCGTTAACGCACGCCGTCAAAAGTAGAGCGAATACAAGAGCACTCATTCTGAAAAAAATGAAGATTTATAGCGATGATAAGATTGTTAAGAATGAAAGACTCGCCAGAGGATATGACCGCTTTTCTTCCCCCGTATTTATATGTTCCTTCCAAGTTTTTATATTGACATAGCGGGCTTCTCCTCGATTTGGATTCGTGGACGCCAACACTGTAAAAAATTCAATTTCAGCTGCTGCTCTGAAAGTCCACTGGTATTCATGCTGAATCAACACACGACTAACCAGAGATAGCAATGATATTGAATAAGAGTTCATTGAATGCTGCCCTAGAGTGAGTTCGTCATGGCGTTAAAGGCAAGCCCCGGGATAAAACTGGTGATAAGGGCGCTTCGTAGTGATGACTGAGCTGCGAACGACCTGAAAGTGGAAAGGAAAGCAAGAGAAATCTTTGGGATGCTGAAATTAAGGCCTTAACCTTCAAAAGGTCGGATGTGGTACGATGGCGAGACAGGGCGATCAAAGAAAACAAAACACGCGAAAGATCACGTCTCGAGAGAGGTCTGGTCTCCACGTTGATGCGGTGGGTGGGAAGCGTTGCAAGACGGCCGATGGTTGCACACCCGTAAAGATTAACCACGTAACTTTGCGATGAATATGGAGTGATCTAGGCAGGGACGGACCTTACAGTCTCTAGCGAGATCCTTCCCACAAGTGGGGCTAATATCGGGGTTCGCCCTCAAACTACAAGAATTACGAAATACTACCAGAATTACGCGCAACCTTGCAGGGAATGACTTTCTGGTTTTTGCTGCAGTGAGTGTCCAGTTTATATTAGATGCTTTGGCTGCTTGGTTTTTCTGATTTTAGGAACAATTTCTATTATTCGCCTCTCGCTTCTTCAACTTGGTCATCAGCACTCCGAGCCGTATTCACTGTCTATTGTTTATTGATTGAAACGTTCCATGTGGCAAGCTTAACTGCCATTCAGTGCACAGGTCCGAACAGGTCTCACAAGGGGGAAAACCAGGTGGATGTGGCCATTTGTAACAAGACATACATCACTATATGTGTTTTGGGACGCTGATCCCGAATCTGCCCTACAAACCTGGGGAGCGGTGATCCGAATGTAGTTGTGGAATAGCAGCAGCACGGAACGACGAGCAAAAGGCTGTGAGGTCGACTTCTTCGCTAGTTCTCAGTTTTCCTTTGTTTGAGGACATTTTTGAGGGACCCTTACTCATGTTAAGTCATCAGATATTGATTAGATCAAAAGTGGAATGAGCTGACGAGTAGCTTTGAATAGTGTCGCGCCATTTGCAAATGCCTCCCCCGGCACCTATAGCGTACATTCGTGACAAGCGGAGGTGATATTCGTGTTCTTTGCGTCAAACTACCCTTTCCGGCAATTTTTGATCAAGATCTAGAATTTTCGAGAGGCGAATAATAGAAATTGTTCTTAAAATCAGAAAAACGAACAGAAAGCTTCTATGAGGGAGGGATTGTTTGTAAGAACCAAGTCCAAAATATTGTGGCCTCGGGTAGGCTGTAACACTTTTTGACTGAAATTATGAGTACGAACAAAGTGATAAAAAAGCGAGCTCTGCCTAGTAAGGAACCTCCTGCTCGTGTTCCGAGACGAGTGAGACCACGAGATGTCAAAGAAATTGAAATCGCCTAGGATAACCAAGGGAAGCTGATTCTCACTAAGCTCTTCAAGATAAAGAAGGAAATCTTCGAAGCTATCATTTGGGCATGAAGGACTACGGTAACAGAGAGCAAGAATACATTCGACATTAATGAGGAGACGTACGGGTAATCGCACTGGAGGTAGGTAGAGAAATTGAGAGACGAAATGAGAGATGAAGGAATGTTGTCTCGAATGATAGCTGCCACCCCACCCCCGGAAATATCCTCACCTCGATCGCAACGGTACACCAGATAGGGATACCCAGCTGACAGAGTACTGTTGTTTATTTTGTCAGGCTTACACCATGTCTCTGTTACGAAGAGGGCAGATGGGCTCTGAGCGAGAAGGTAGTGAAGATCGGGCAGCTTGTTGTTCACAGAGCGGGCATTAAATAGAAACATTCACCAGAGGAAAGGATTTTAGATTGATGGATTCGATCTCGTCGGTCCGATTGAGGGGCGTATCCCTATGGGGAGATGTTAGGGACCCTTGAAGTGCCCTCTAGAGATGCGTCCATGGATCCAACCGAATTCCTCGAAAAAACATTTGAAGCTTCCGTAAGCGGCGCGAGGAGTTGCGACGGGGCAGCTCCCTTGCATTCTTCAGCTTGTGAATTTTGAGGTCTCTAACCACATACTGAAGCTTCCCCATCCTCGCGTTGGCCAGACCCGCCTGCTTGCGTAAACTTCTGTCCAATTCCAATTCCTCCACTGTGTAGTCCCTTCGGGCGTATGAATGAACGAAACGCCTTGTGAGACTCTGGCGTCCCGATTTCATGTGCCGAAGCAGCTTGTCCTTCAGAGCAGGCGAGGAAAGCTCGATCTTT